TTCTACACACATAAAGTCTTCTCTCCTACTTATGGAAAAGACATCCCAAGATACCTATTGTTATAATTTTTCCTATGTGTGGTGACTTGGGACACCCTGTAATTTAGGTACATGCTTTGATTAGTTGTACTGTTTTTTGTTTGAAATATGTGTATAATAAACTAAACCTTTGATTCAAAAAAAAATAAAGTTAGGGAGAAAAAATGTGCATTTTCAATATTATCAATATTGCCCCAGAAGATTTGACTCGCAGATGGTTCTGCTCTCCATAGAGTGAATATGAAAAGAACATGTCCACTGGGGCAACCTGAGCTCAGTCACTGGGATCCCTCCGGGACCACGGCAGTCCCATTTTCCTTCCTGCAGGAAAGTGTTCTCCTAGAGGGCTTCTTGAAAACAAGTTCTATTTTTATTCTCATTTGAACTTCTCTCCGTATTACAGAACACCTATTGTTCTGCATGAATTCCTCTTGGGTCTTTTGAATTGTCAGCCCATGGTGTACCAGAATATGAACCTTCCTCTTCTGCGGTTCTCTCCTCGTGGCTGAGCTGTTCCTGCTGCCTTCCTAGACTTGCCCAGACCTGCATCCTAACCTTCTTCTTCTGTAATGCTTGGAAGCTTAAAAACTTTCCAGACTTGAGGAGGTTTTGACCTTGGGCGCTGGGGTTCTGGGTTGCCTTTGCTCCTCTTCCCCATCTCTCGATGGTTTGTGAGCCTGTGCCCTTGCCAGGGAAAGGCCTGAGCGTGAGCTCTGAGAGTGGGGAGGGCTGTTGAGATTTCCTGTAGGCACTGGCCATTGTAGTCCTTTGTTGGGGAAAAAAAAAAAACCCAGTACAGACGTGGAGAGCCAAACCACAGAGTGCATCTGTGAGCTAACTCTTCCAGACGGCTGTGTCATTGTAGGGTAAAGGCTGTTTGCACATTTCATGGATGACTTAATTATAGGCCTCCTAATGGGTATTATTATTTCTTATAAACATTTTGGATGACAAGTATTATGTTTCCATTGTTTTACCTTTTTATTATGGGAAAATTCCCAAAGTAGAATGAAAGCCTAATAAATCCACCATACCCCAGGCAGCGCCCGCTGTTGCTTACTCAGC